GGATGAATGCAGGCTGGGATTGTTCTTTTATGTCCGTTCGAGGCTATTTTTTGCGAAGTCCAGCTGTTTCGGGCTGATACAACAGACATAAAAATACAGAACAATCCCAGCCTGCACTCATTGGTAACCACCATATTAATTTGAGGCTAGACAGGCGTAGTATTCGAGTTGCCTCTTGCCTTATACAACTCTGACCTGACATTGAATTAGGGATATTTGAGTACAGTTAATAGAGACATGCTAGAAAATTTTCAATTCAATATTGAATCAGATTCCCAGCTCGATCAACCTGTTGCTTGTCATAATTATGGCAAGTTTACAGATTCTGTAGCCAACTTTGAAGGCTACTTTAGGATTATCAGCCTGTTAGAAGTGCATTATTTATTTGCCCTGGAAATGGGCTGGAAGTTTGATTGAGTCTGAACCACTGCATTATATGGATGTGAGAATGATCATATCAATAATTTTGGTCAAACTAACTTCCGGAAGTTGTACACATAACTAACATCAGTTATCTTAAGGCCTTTATGATTGTTCATTAAGAAGCTGGTCATACATTCTATAATAGCAGTTAAGAACCCAAAAGCTTTTAATTGCTCAACTTTGTTTGTGTTGGCTATGTTCTGATTGTACTAAAATGGGTATCCGGCATATGACGACATGAATAAGTAAAAGATGCAGGCACATAAATATTGTGGTTTTGAAAATTCAGTCATTACAACTTTAGTCACATGAACTAAACTGGTTCAGTTAAGGTCAATTTGTCGATCATGTATCAGCTAGGGTGAAGTAATGGGGTATGAGTCAGTTTAACGAGGTCAACCACTACCTGGAAAGCCTGGTTCAATCTCAATCTAGGTTTAACCCAAATAATAAGAGTGGTCCAAGCTTCTAGAATCTGTAGAATCAAACGTAAAGACTAGAAAAGACTTGGATAGACGACTTTTGAGTTTTGGCTGCTTTTCTCGTCTTCTTTTTTCTTTTTTTTTTTTTTTTTCTTTTTCTTTTTTTTTATTTATTTTTTATTTTTATTGTGTTTCTTGGAATTATTAGTTATTTCTGGTTTTTAAGGTGTAAAAACTTTGACAAGTTCAATTCCTAAATATGACAGAAATATGGACAAAGGTGAGTTCAAGTTGCAAATTAGTTTGACTACTAAATATTAACAATAATAGGCTTGAAAATTGCTGAGTCAAAGTTTGAAATCTTTATACCATAATACAATTTGAGCTTTGAGTGTTTAAGAAAGCATTTTATTTTGACATGTTGTGTAAGGGTTATACTTATTGGGCTAGAAGTGTTTGATTGATTTTTGCTCTCATTGAGTGTATGTTGTGCTAAAACTAGTCGGTTGAGAGTATCATGTTATGTATGTGTGCAATAGGTTAGACAATGTATTTTACTTATGGTGTGTTTTCTTTGTGGTGGGCTTCAATGCTTTTTTACACTATAGAGATTTTTCCATTCAGATGAAATAATGCATGCTTGATTTTAAACAGAAATAAGGTATGTAAAGTTAGTTCACATTGTCTTTTTCATGTTCTTCATAGTGTACTTTAACTCAATGTATTTGTAGTTATTAACGCATGTTGTTAATGCTTTATATGTAGTACTTTACCGGAGTATCTTCTTATTCTCAAGCAAAGATTGACGAGCTAAGAGACTTATGGGTTAATTATGTGAACGAGCATAAGCAAGTCGGTGAAGAATATGACGATGGTGTGGATTATGATGAGTAAATTTATATGCATCGCGCTACCATTACAATTTTAGTATTTTATATTGTCTTTTTTCCTTTGGTACTACGTACAACATAAACACTCTAAATTTGTACTCGTAGTAAAATATATATTTTCAATGAAAGTATGCAATATTTTATCTTGTACAGTAGCTTATTTTCATATTTTTGTTTATAATTATATATATATACAGGTTTGTCACATGTTGGGTACTCGTTACATTATGTTGCTTTAAAAAAATAAAAAATAAATAAGAAACCGGTTGTCTAATAAATCTTGCCGGCGATTTCATTCATATTATTATTATTATTTTAAAATTTTGAGCCTAGATAAGAGACTCCTTTTCCAGTTAGGGGGTTTTTTAAAATGTGATTTAAGAGACCCTTTTCGCTCTTATGTGGTTCCATATACAACTTTCATGTATAATTTAAAGGGTTGGATAAATAACCACCTAAGAAAGAAAAGGGGTTTCTTATTGTCTTTAAGAAACCACCTCCAAAAAGGGGTTTCTTTACCTAAGAGGTCGTTGACCTTAAGACCCCCTCTCATGTGGTCTCAAAGGGAGGTTTTAGGGGGTTTCTTATGGGTTTTTTGTATGGTTAGATGCTAGTGACCAGTTTCAGTGAATTTGGTGCTGCTATTCTGTCATATTTCCTTATTAAAAATTCATTTTTTGTGGTAGCTGTTGCTGCTATTGATGATACATTTCGTGTTTGGCTTCGCACTGTACTGTTAGAGTGTTAGGATTAAATTTCAGGTTGCAATTTTTTACCTGTGCTCAAAGATGATTTATAATTTTACAGTGAGATTTCTGCTTTAACAGTGAGATTTCTGCTCCATTGTTATTTAACTTCAAGGCTTATAAGCTTGTATTGTGATTTTGAAAGATGAAACTTATTTCTGTGTGAATCTCAGGTTGAAGTTGTTATTAGTCTACTTCCTCCGAGCTGCCATGTTGCAATAGCGAAAGCTTGTATTGAGGTACCTTTGGTTTATAATTTATTTCATGTTTTTTTCCAACCCCGTAAGCTATCTGATTACTAACTACCATGCATATGTATATGGAACTGTCTATTTGTCAAAAAAAAAAAAGAATGCAAAGTAATACAAGCAGTTACACCTAAATGATGAGGAAAAGTATTCATATTCAACTCTTAGGTCAAATAAACATATTGGCTATGTGGGTATATAAAGAGAGTAAGGTCTTGCAGTGGTGTGACTTTTTGTGTGTGATTGTGTATGCATGTTCAGATTCGGATTATTAGGGCAGTGTTACAATTTTCTGGACTAAATGATGCTGCCCCCTTTTCTAGGCTTCAATTTTAGCTGATATACAACATTACTTGCAAGCAGAATTGTTAATTATTATAATTTCATGTAATAAGCTAGCTGTTTGCTAAAGATGGTAGCAAAACTAGCAACTGCTGGCATGTTACCTGTTTCAATGTCTCAGTTTGCAGTAACACATCATTAAATACTTAAATACTGTGTTTATTGGTCCATAGGATGATTAGACTAGCGCTTAATATAGAATTTTGTATGTTACAAAAAGTGTGCTGCATCCAGCAACAATGGAACATTGATGGCAGCAATACAGTACACAGCTAATCATGTACAATTGCATATACAATCATATGAATTCTTTTATTTTCACGATGCAGCTTAAGAAGCATCTGGTTACTGCTAGCTATGTTGATGATTCTCTGTTGAAGCTTGATCAAGATGCGAAGGATGCTGGTATAACAGTTATTGGTGAGATGGGCCTTGATATCGGGATAGGTAAATCTACATTGAACTTCTCTTTTCTTTCTTTCCCCCCCCCCCCCCCCGCGGGTTCCCCCATAGATCTTGACATTTTATTAATAGATGAAATGGAAGGTTCATAGTAGCTCTATACATCAGATTCCATCTTTAGTGAATGTCTTCATTTCCCTGAGTACTGCACTAATAGTAACACATCTCAAGATCGGAAACCTGGGGACTTTTACTTTGTATACTTGTGATGGATGATAAACTGTTAATGTGAAGGATTGTAGAGAAGACTTAACCAGCCTCTGAATACATCCTCAACTTTGGTTTTGCAAATTCTTGAGTATGCATTTGACATTTATCCAATGTAATCATTTTAAGTGTTGCAGATCACATGCTGGCGATGAAAATGATAAACGAAGCACATACCAAAGGGGGAAAAGTTTGTTCATTTACTTCTTATTAATTTTTTACTGGTGAATAGTGATAAATCTATAAAAATAAAATAAAAATGAAAGAAAAGAAAACTCTGTGATGCTGATTAATTCTAGTAATACAGAGAAAGTGGTTGGAAAAAAATGTGTTCTTGTAATTAATCCTAGATTTTTTTTATTTTTCTTGTTGTGATTACTTTTGGACTTTGGAGGCTTAGAACAATCACCTGTTCTATAATTATACAGATAGAACATGAAAATTGGCAATTGATATGGACTGCTTGTCCCCTTTTTACTTTCACCGTTGGATCTAAAGGTCTTAATTATGCAAATTGTCGAGATTTTTAACCATGATGTGCTCAAAATATTGAAGTCTAATATGTAGCCAAGAAACTGTTCTTAGAATTTTAAGTTTCAAAGTCTTATTTTTTACTAAAGGAATTTTTTGATCAACTTATTGTTGTACTTCATATTAGTGAGTTTTAATAAGTTAGTTTATAGATACAATGTTTTCAGCTATAGAAGTCTTTGGTATATTAGGATATTATGTTGTATCTTTGATTTGATATTATTGTTTGTAATCTTTCGCACCATTTTCATGTATCATTGTTAGCCTTTAATAATCTTTTGTAACACTATAAATAGTTGTATTATTTCATGAATTTATACAAAGCTTTTCCATATTCTCATTCTCATAACTCTATCCGATGGTAGTTTGTTGTACTATGATTCATTTCAAAAGAGATGCTTTACATATCATATCTAAGCATCACTCCTGCTGGCTACACATAGCTGCAGCTCAATATAAAACTGAAAAGAAAATAACTTTGACAGAATTTAAGGAGATAAAGAAGAAGTTTAAGCGCACTTCACCTTGTTTTCTTGATACTTTTGCATCTGTTAATCACGCTTGCATTAGCATCCATAATTTCTTACTAATAATTGGCTTCTGTGGCAAAGTTTTAGATTGCATGCTGGATTGCTCTTTTTCCTACGAGTATGTAGGATAGCTTTTTTATATTTCTGATTTTTGGCAGTAGTGTGTTATGTGCTTACAGGTAGTGTTCTTGTTTGGCCCTTTTTCAGATTTGTTTACAAGGGGGTATAGACATTCAAGCAGTAAATGTTGTAATCAATTTTGATTTCCCAAAAAACTCAGAAACCTATCTGCACAGAGTATATTAGGTTCTTTCTTTTGATTTTGGTCAGATGTATGTTTTTTTTTCCTTCTGTATTGTACTTAATATCTATTTGCTATACAGGTTGGTCGTTCTGGAAGATATGGGCACCTTTGATTGGCTGTTAACCTAATCACATATGAGGATCGCTTTAACTTGTATGTGCTGTGAATTGACATTCATTGGGAGTGCCAACGATTGGGGCAACAATTGAGATGTTAAGCAAATTTCTTCTTTTTTTTTCAGGTACAAGATTGAACAAGAGCTTGGGACCGAAATCAAGCAAATTCCTCCACACATAGATCAGGGTATCTACTGCCGGTACCAAAGTGTTCTCTGGTGAGTTAGTGAGACAATAATCTGCAAATGTGTTTTGACTGTTGTCTTTTTCATTTTCATAGCCCATGTCTTTGGGGAAGAGGGGGGGGGGGGGGAGGTGGGTGTTTTCGTGTTTGGGGCTTTATGCGCTCAAAATGAATTCTGTGAGAGGGTACACTACTACAAAAATATGAAAAGAAACCCCCTAAAATTGGCATAAGAAATCACTTTAGAGGGGGTCTCAAGCTCAATGGTGGGTGGGGGTTTCTGGGTTCAAGGGTTGGATTTCGACGGAGGTGGGTGTCTGATTTCGACGGAGGTGGGTTGGATTTCGACGGAGGTGGGTGTTACTCTTGGTGGTTGTTGTGGGTGTTGCTCTCGGTGGTGGTAGTTGTGGCCGGTGATAAGAGGAGAGAGAAAAGATAGGGAAGCTTGAGAGAGGAGAGGAGAGATGGGTGAGAACTGAGAACTGAGAAATGGAGAAAGGAGAGAGGAGAGAGAGAAAAGAGGAGTTCCATGGGTGAGAAATGGAGAGAGGAGAGAGATGGAGAAAAAGAGGCGTGAGATTGAGAATGGAGAGGAGAGAAAAGGAGATCAGAGAAAAGAGGCGTGAGAATATAAGGGGTTGTTAGGGTTTTTTTTTTTTTTTTTTAAGAATGGGGAGCGGTTCAATGTTCTAACCGCTTCCCATCACAAAAAACTTAATCTAAGAAACCCCTTTTGTAAAAGTGATTCCTTAAATAGAAGTAAACTTATAGAAATATATAAGGAACCATTTTTCTTTAGAAGGGGTTTCTTATTTACATGTATAAAAGACCCCTTATTTGAGAAAACAGTTTCTTTTATTAAGAAACCCCTTATTTGATAAAAGGGGTTTCTTTTTAGTGATTCTTTTGGCCAATTTTGTAGTAGTGTATTCTTTTATATCTAAGAAAAAGAGAGCATGAGAAATGTAATCCTACCTTTAAGAGCAAGAATTCTCGAGTTAGGGTTCATCAAAGCAGAATCAGCCGTGATGGGACGCCTCAAAGGTTGATTAGGCATGTTCATGTCAATAATAACAACGCTGTTATGAGGCGAGGTCTCTCTCACACAAATGTACTTGTCTGATTCCATCGTTACATGAGAGAAAGTAATGAACTGTGAACCGATTCCTACACTTGGAAGCTGCAAATCCTAGTAAATAGCATAAAAACTCAGCTTCACTCCAAACTTATAAAATCCAACAAAATTTCTTAGTTTTACAAAATTAAGAATCAAAAGTATCAACTTAAGTTCATATGAATTGCACCAACTCATTTCAGTTTCACCTCAAACAAAGGTAGAATTCGTCCTAATTTCACTGAATTTACAGATCATAATTCAGTATCAGTTAGACTAAACTACTTCCAATTCGCAAATTCCAATAAATTCCACCAACTCAACTTAACTACAAATCAAAATCAATAACCAAGCATAATTAGCAACCCTAAAAATCGCATATTTCCAGTGAATCAACCAAACTCAACTTCACTCAATTATATCGACTCAATTATACAAAATTTCCAATCAAATCTATAACAAAGCACATCAATCAAAGTCCAGATCAACTAAAAAGCTCAATCACGTCTGAGCAGATCCGATAAAACAACCAAACATACAAACAACACCAAAATCATTAGGGTTTTCAACTGAAATAACTCAAACAACAAAAAACACCAAAAATAACTCAAAATGAATAATTGGACCAAAAGACCAAAAATAACGCAAAGCTAAATAACCTAGAAACCCTAACCTCAAATTTCTGATTTTTGGTTCGAAATTGATTCGAATTTGTTGTTGTTGAAGACGCACGCACACACATCGATTTGATTCAAAATAGACGAACCCAGAAACCCTAACCTCCAATATTGTAGAAAGAGAGAAGGAAAAGGAGAAGGAGATCGAAAGAGAGAAGAAAGGAAAGGGAAAGTGGCGGTTATGGAGAAGGAGATCGAAGGAGAGAGAAGGAGTTTGAGGAAAGTGCTTAGAGAAAGCTCAGAAGCCCCGTCAATGGAGAAATTCAAGTACGCTTCAATGGAGGAGAGAGAGAGAGAGGAGAGAGAGGCAGATGAGAGAGGAGGAAAGATCGAGGAAATGAAAGAGAAAGAAAGAGTATATCCGGGTTTTTTTTTTTTTTTTTTTAATTTTATTTTACAATAGATTTCGCACCGGTTCGAACCGAACCAGTGCGATTAACTCATTTTTCGCACCGGTTTGGTTAGAACCGGTGGGAAAACTCTTCCCCTCAATCCCGCCTATTTTTTCACCGGTTTTTAAAAACCGGTACGCATTCTGCGGTGCCCATTTCATTTTTTCTACTAGTGATAGCTGCTAAGTTTACTAGACTTAACTTATTTCTACTCATATTGGAGTAGTAGGAAAATAATAAAAAAAAGGCCGTCTGCTTATTAAGCAAGCGTCCCTCCTTTTTGGGAGGATGCGTACAAATACAAAGTATTGAAAACAAATAGCAACTTTTTATTAATGTGCTTTCATTTACAAAAAAATTACAAGTCTCAGAAGTAGTACTTTTTCAAGTTGTCTACATTCCAAGTTCTGGTTATCTGCTTGCCATATGGTGTTTCCAGGGGGTAGGTGCCGCCTCGTACTTCTTCATAGATTCGGTAGGGGCCTTCCCCAATTGGGAGTCAGCTTTCCCTGCTCATTGGCCCTACCAGTCGCCTCCATTTTTTGTAGCACAAAGTCCCCTACTTTCAGGGGGCGCCTGTGCACTCTTTTATTGTAGGCTCTCGTCATTCTCAGACGGTAGATCTTAAAGCAGCATTGCCCCTCCGCTCTGGGAGTGAGTCCAGTGCTAGCCGCATGGCCTCCCAATTAGCCTCCTCATCATATAACATGACTCCAAGAGTCGGCTCATAGTACTCAATAGGCAAAAAAACTTCAGCACCATAAGTCATGGGAAATGAGGTTTCTCTAGTCGCCCCTTTTTTAGTCGTCCTGATGGCCCACAGAACATGCGGTAGCTCGTCAGCCCATAGGCTGCCAGCTCTTTCAATTTTCTTTTTGATGCCGTCAGAGATTAACTGTTGAGGGCTTCAACCTGGCCGTTTTCTTGGGGACGGCTGACTGATGCAAAACAGTGAGAGATACCTTGGTCTCCCAACTAGTTCTTGAGAGCAGGCATCTCAAATTGAGGACCATTGTCAAAGACCATAGACATGGATACCCAATACCGAGTGATGACATTTCTCCAGATGAAGGAGAAAACATCTTTTGTTTTAATGCCTTTGACTGTCTCCGCCTCTACCCATTTGGTGAAGTAGTCGATAGCAACCAGAATATACTTCCGCCCGCCTGTAGCAGGCGTATAAGGTCCCAGAATATCCATGCTCCACTTGGCGAATGGTACTGGGCTATGGGTGACCGTCAGATCAGTAGCTGGTCGGTGTATAAGCTTGCCAAACCTTTGACACTTGTCACATTTTTTCACCATTTCCATGGCGTCTGCTTCCAGGGTAGGCCAGAAGTAACCTTGCCGCCTGGCTCTCTTTGCTAAGGTCCTGCCGCTTATGTGGGAGGCGCAGAAGCCCGAATGCAAGTCTTCTAAAACCTTTCGTCCCCTCTCTGGGGTAACACATTTCAAAAAAGGTTGGAGATAGCCCTTTTTGAAGAGTTCTCCATTATGGATTTCAAAACTGGCCGCACATTTTTTCATTGCAACCATCTCTGAGTAAGTATCCGGCCGGGTGCCGTCTGTTAAGTAAGCCCGGATGCCATCCATCCAGGTTGAGCCTCGTTCTAGTATTCTATGGGATCATCATCAATGCTTCTTTTTTCCATAACTTACCAAAAAACAGACCTAGGTGTATCACAAGAGGCGGATGATGCAAGTTTGGAGAGAGCATCCGCCTGATTATTCTCGGACTTAGGCACCTGACTTAGATGAAATTCATCAAGGGTCCCAGCCTCTTCTTTGACCGCCTGTAAGTAGGGGTGGGACTTTTCAAACCGAACCGTGAAACCGCCCGTTACCGAACCGAACCATCACGGACCGATCCGTTTATAAACCGATAAATATAAACCGAAAACCGAACTGAACCGTTCAATATCAAACCGAAACCGAATTGAACCGCTCAATGTCAACCCGTTACGGACCGTAAACCGATAACAAACCAAACTGCGCAAATCCGAACCGAAACGAAACCGAACCGAATGGTTTATAAACCTGTTAATGACCCGAACCGTTTATAAACCGAAACCGTTTAAACCGAAAAAAAAAACCGTTTAAACCGAACCATTTGTAACCCGCTAACCGTTTAAACCGACCCGTTTATGAACCGAAACCGTTTAAACCGCACGTATAAACCGAACCGTTATAATCCGCTAACCGTCTAAACTGAAATGCCATAACCCGTTAAACCGTTAAAATCGAACTGTTTTCGAATCACAACCTGTTTAAACTGATCCGATTACAAACTGCTTAATTCAAATTGAATTATTTACAACCTAAATGGCTAAATAGTAAATACAATTAATGTTAATAAATGTAGATCTAATCAAACGGCTTAGGTTTATACAAAGGTTTATATCACCTAGATCTAGGCCAACGATATTATTAATATCGTTTTAGATTACTTATTTATTTTAATTACAAGATATATCATTTGTATAATTGTATCATTTTCATTCCAGTAATAATGCTAGTCCACCCAAATTATCTTCATTGTTCCTTGATATTCATGATCATCCAATAACACTCAAAGCCTCAAAGGTAACATAAGATTGGAGATGTATGAGATTGCGTTACACAAGTGGCATAAGCATTAGAATATTACTGTACTAGTCAATAAGGCGTACAATCATTCACATTATCACTTTATAAAACTTTCTTATACAAGTATTTTGTAAAGGGGAGGACTAAAATGTTTATAAAACACATTTTTTTAGCTTTTCTTAAATTAAACCAGATATTAAGTAAAAGAATTTTAATAAATACGGAGGCATCCCAAATCTGTAGTCACAATTATTTCATAACATTACCAC